TTTACATCTGGGGATAAGGCCACGATGTCCAACTATAGACCAATCAGCATCCTCCCCTGTGTCTCTAAGGTAAATGAGGAATGGGTGTCAAAACTAATCACCAAACATTTAGACAAAGGCTCCGCTCCACCCAATGCAGTTTGGTTTCTGTGCTCACCACTGAGACAGCTAGCTGTGTCTTTGTGGAAAAGGTTAGATGTATGTTGGACACGAGCCCGTCTGTAGGTGCTGTGTTCCTTGATCTCAGGAAGGCTTTTGACGCTGTTGACCACAAAGCTGACGCATTTCAATGTTTCTGCAGATTCAATCCAGTGGGTTGAGTCTTACTTATCGAACAGAAAACAGTGTGTTCTGGTCAACGGAGCCAAATCCCCCTACCTTGTGAACCCTGTTGGGGTTCCACAAGGTTCCACAAGGTTCCTCAAGGTTCCACAAGGTTCCTCAAGGTTCCATTCTTGGACCATTACTGTTTTCTCTGTACATGAATGACTTGCCTAATGTATGTCCTGATCTGAATGTGCAAATGTATGCCGATGATGCGGTCATCTTTGTACAGGGGAAAAACACTGAAATGATCTCATCCTGTCTCTCTAATGCTTTGGACAAGGTTCAACACCGGCTGAACAACATGTGCTTACAGTTAAATGTAAAGAAAAAGTATGCATGATGTTCAGTAAACGACCAGTCACAATGGAAGGATCCAATGTGTTTTAAACGGAGCAGAAATATAACTAGTCCCCCACTTCAAGTATCTTGGAGTCATACTGGACTCGAACTTGACTTTTAAGAAACATATCAAGAAAGTATCAAATACCATTAAATTCAACTTTCAACAGGTTAAACAAATCAGACCTTTCTTAACTGTCAATGCTGCAAAGTCATATCCCTCCACTGTATGATTCTATCCCACATTGAATACTGTTTGACAAACTGGTCGTTGCTTGTGCCACAAACCTGAAACCCATAGAACAGCTGAGAGAGAGAGCTATCAAGGTGTTTGACAGAAAGACACATTCATACCACCATTTCTTGAGTTTTGACCGTGTTAAAGGTCCCATGCTTTTCCGGTTCTTACCCGTCCCCTTGTGTTATGAAGGTTTTTATGTAAACGCTCTGCAGAGTCACAAACCCTCACAGTACACCCTGTAGGGAGTAAAACTCTAACACAGAGAAGACCTCCCCAGAACGTCCTGGGTGCTCTGACGTGGGGATACCCAGAGGCCGCACCCTCTGCCAGCCTTTCACGAAACAAAGCTTCCCAAACCTTTCAGCATTCATGCCGGATGCACAGCGTACTGAAGAACGATGCTGTTCCTACTTTGTTTGGACCAGCGGGAGATTCGGGAACACAACCTGTAAGTATTCATTGTTGTTTGTGTATTTATGATGTTTAAAACAAACAAGGTATCTACCACGACTGTTTAAAGTGCACCTATCATGCTATATTTAAATGATATATTGTAGGGCCATACCTATATAAGGTATATTTATACGTTTCTGTTTCAAAATACCAAAAGAATCATGCATTTTAGCCATGCCTCATTTCGCTCTATGTGCTGTTTGCTGTCTACGGGTCTGATTCTGCTGACCACGCCCCCCCTGCAGGAGAGGGGAGACTTGCTCTGATCAGCTGCTGGGCTGTCGAAGAGGGGGAGAAAAAGAGATCTCCGTCCTCCGTGTTTTATTATATAGAGTCGTTATTCATTTGTTTTAAAGCTCAATAAATAACAAAGAAGACCTTGACCGGCACTTTTCTAATTTTGTCCGGAAGATTTACAACTTTAACGGACATCTTGACCGGCGAAAGAAACTGAAAGTGAAACTCTGCCGCACGGTCCCCCTGGTTCCTTGGAAGAGGCGGAGAGGTTGGGTGTTTGTCATCTGCTGGTGGACTAACCGGAGAGATTACAGTGCTTGCCTCGACGGGGAAGGGATTGCATTGAATTAAAGCAGCGGGAGCAAACGCTGCCTCGGGGAGGGAGAAAGAAAGCACAGCGGAGATAAACAGAAGGGTAACCATGGCAACTATGGGCGGGAAGTCTTCTTCGCTGCTTTTGTGGCAGACTACAGCGCCACTTACAGGCCTGGCATATGTACTACTAAAGCGCCTCCAGCGCTTCGAGTGGCAATGGCCGCGTGGCCCAACCCCACATTCCCCTGATAGGTGGAGTTGGCCCAATAGCCGTAGCGCCACCGTCCTGACGTCAGGACAGTGTTCAAATCTGGATCAGTTTTTATCAGATCCGTTGCAGCCCCTTTTTAGAGATTTGGGTATGGAGGAAAATAGAGAGGGTTGTGTTTTCTGACACTTGGTGAGTTCCCTGGAACACCGGGGACACATATTCATGTAGAAAAGACGTACAAACGTGCATTTTGCATGATAGGTCCCCTTTAAATGGGTAAACGTTTTCCGGGCTGCTAAGTTGGGATGGTGGAGAAATGCTCTCTGCAGACCCATTCTCTCTGCAGACCCCATTCTCTCTGCAGACCCATTCTCTCTGCAGACCCATCCTCTCTGCAGACCCATCCTCTCTGCAGACCCATCCTCTCTGCAGACCCATCCTCTCTGCAGACCCATCCTCTCTGCAGACCTATTCTCTCTGCAGACCCATTCTCTCTGCAGACCCATTCTCTCTGCAGACCCATTCTCTCTGCAGACCTATTCTCTCTGCAGACCCATCCTCTCTGCAGACCCATCCTCTCTGCAGACCCATCCTCTCTGCAGACCCATCCTCTCTGCAGACCTATTCTCTCTGCAGACCCATCCTCTCTGCAGACCCATCCTCTCTGCAGACCCATTCTCTCTGCAGACCTATTCTCTCTGCAGACCCATCCTCTCTGCAGACCCATTCTCTCTGCAGACCCATCCTCTCTGCAGACCCATCCTCTCTGCAGACCCATTCTCTCTGCAGACCCATTCTCTCTGCAGACCCATCCTCTCTGCAGACCCATTCTCTCTGCAGACCCATCCTCTCTGCAGACCTATTCTCTCTGTCTGCAGACCTATTCTCTCTGCAGACCCATTCTCTCTGCAGACCCATCCTCTCTGCAGACCCCATTCTCTCTGCAGACCCATTCTCTCTGCAGACCCATTCTCTCTGCAGACCCATCCCTCTCTGCAGAACCCATCCTCTCTTCTGCAACCTTCTCTCTGCAGACCCATTCTCTCTGCAGACCCATTCTCTCTGCAGACCCATTCTCTCTGCAGACCCATTCTCTCTGCAGACCCATTCCCTCTGCAGACCCATCCTCTCTGCAGACCCATCCTCTCTGCAGACCCATCCTCTCTGCAGACCCATCCTCTCTGCAGACCCATCCTCTCTGCAGACCCATTCTCTCTGCAGACCCATTCTCTCTGCAGACCCATCCTCTCTGCAGACCCATCCTCTCTGCAGACCCATTCTCTCTGCAGACCCATTCTCACAGCGTTATAAACCTTTTACTCAATATCAAGCCACACTTATTGTTTTTACTTCGGCTGTGAGTGTTTGTGTGCTCAGGATGAGTTTCGCTTGTTCTCTCTGTATCGCCAACCCGGAAGCCTGTCTGCGAGCAGCAACGAGCCTCTCAACGTCCCGACCAATCAGAGCACACTGGGCTCACAGGGAGGGGGGGGCAGGAGCTCCACCAAGCCGTGTAGGACAGAGAGTGAATACACAGACTATACAGAGATGCTGTTTGAGAAACCTATGTGAGTTTGGAACATTGAACAATGTAATCTATTCTAGTAGACCTCAACTATGGAATCATGATCAATAGAAATGGCCGTGACATGGGACCTTTAAGTCTTTTAAAATGTTTACATGGACTGCCCCCCCCCCCCTTCATCCACAGAAAACCCACTGGACGCTGCACTAGGTCAGAAACCAGAGGAGACTGTGAGGTCCACCGCAGACGGACCACTTTTGGTCAAAATGTCCTCTCCATTAAAGACAGCTCTTTGTGGAACAGCCTCCCAGCTGAGATACGGGCTCTTGCTCTTTCTGCATATCATGTATTTGTTGTTGCTATGGTTATAAATGTCATGTTCTTGTATGTGACGGACTGCGGATGGAAATGAGCTCAAAGCTCAAATCCAGCTCATTTACACTTGTAAGCATTATTTATTATAACGCTGACTCATAACGCTGACTCATAACGTTGATTCATAACGCTGACTCATAATGCTGACTCATAACGCTGACTCATAACGCTGACTCATAACGTTGACTCATAACGCTGACTCATAACGCTGACTCATAACGCTGACTCATAACGCTGACTCATAATGTTGACTCATAACGCTGACTCATAACGCTGACTCATAACGCTGACTCATAATGTTGATTCATAACGTTGATTCATAACGCTGACTCATAACGCTGACTCATAACGCTGACTCATAACGTTGATTCATAACGCTGACTCATAACGCTGACTCATAACGCTGACTCATAACGCTGACTCATAACGTGATTCATAACGTTGATTCATAACGCTGACTCATAACGCTGACTCATAACGTTGATTCATAACGTTTGACTCATAACGCTGACTCATAACGCTGACTCATAACGCTGACTCATAATGTTGACTCATAACGCTGACTCATAACGCTGACTCATAACGCTGACTCATAATGTTGATTCATAACGTTGATTCATAACGCTGACTCATACGCTGACTCATAACGCTGACTCATGTTGATTCATAACGTTGATTCATAACGCTGACTCATAACGCTGACTCATAACGCTGACTCATAACGTTGATTCATAACGCTGACTCATAACGCTGACTCATAACGCTGACTCATAACGCTGACTCATAACGCTGACTCATAACGTTGACTCATAACGCTGACTCATAACGCTGACTCATAACGCTGACTCATAATGTTGACTCATAACGCTGACTCATAACGCTGACTCATGTTGATTCATAACGTTGATTCATAACGCTGACTCATAACGCTAACTCATAACGCTGACTCATAACGCTGACTCATAACGCTGACTCAC